TGAAGTGTATTATATTTTATAGCATTTACAACACTTTGTTAATGAATGCTACAGCATACTTTTAACTGAACTTGACATTAGTACATAAATAAATATTAGTAGTTTTTAATACAGTAGATTTTGATGTATTGTTATGTAGCATCTTATTGTCATAAAAAAGACAACATTAATTTGTTGTGTAATACTATAATTGTTGTATTAATACAGCAATTACTACAACAGATAGCAAGTACTGGTTCAAAAAATATTTACCATGAATTACTATAGTATTTTAATCAAACTGTAAGTTTATTGTAATCATGCTCTTTTGAAAGTGCAATTTATTTATATATATAAACAGGAAAAATGTCCACATATGCAATCCAAACTATTTTATTTATTGCCTTGAGTTAGGAGTGAGCAATGAAATAAACTTCCATGTAATACATTGATTTCTTGATCAACTATTAATGTAATTCAGTCATTAATCTATAAATGTATTAATTTTGCTTCTATGGATTCACGCCAGATGTGGTACGCTGGACGGTTTTTGGGAAAACTTTTGCAACAAACGGCATTCCCAGTAGTAGCTAGAAGAGATACAGCTGCTCCTGGATGTTAACTAGAATTAATTGATATTATTTATTAAATTATCCATTCATTGTATTTTATTAACGTCTACCCCAACCCTCACAGTGATGTAAACATATTAATTATTGTTGTACAGTGTCAGAAATTATGCTATCTTGATGTGTGTATTTATCCATATTGATGTGAGCTGTATGCCATCTAGGCTTTACCTGCTTTCCCACACTTTCACCAGCAGAGGTCCTGGTCGAGCTCTATTTTTTATCCAGCAAAACACTATTTACATACATTTTAAACTGGTATTGATATAATGTGTACTTTTTGCAATTTTTTGCATTTATTTTAGTATTGTACATACTCCGCTAGATTATGGTGTGAGGTTCAAAAATTTATTAATGATATTACTCATTGTTTAAAACCTATATTATTGTTATGAAAAAATGTACTCTTTGGTTTTACTGACTATCCTAACCAAGAGGACACATGTTTTTATTGAATTAACTTGATTATTATAACATCATGAATGTAAATTCACTAATAAGAAACTTAAATGTATGGTTTTGTTGACTAAAATGTTATATATTACCGATTACGTTATCAGAGACGTTCTAAACATAAAAGCCCTACGCACTTTAAACTATTTGTAATCTTTATGTATTTAATTTGTATATTTGTACAGTTTTAATGTTTATATTTTGTTTATACTTACCTCCCCCTAGCATCTATACGTTTTTGTCTGTTAAATGGTATATGCTATTGTCCTTTAAAAATAGATAGATAGATAGATAGATAGATAGATAGATAGATAGATAGATAGATAGATAGATAGATAGATGATAGATAGATAGATAGATAGATAGATAGATAGATAGATAGATAGATAGATAGATAGATAGATAGATAGATAGATAGATAGATAGATAGATAGATAGATAGATAGATAGATAGATAGATGAACCTCTTCCGATTTGCCCACTGGATTTATTTTATTCATTTATTTTTTTTTTGAATGCGTGAAAAACATTAACAACAAATGTCATAATTAAACATCAACAATTCAGGGGTTTTCAGTCATTTAGTCCAAGACAAGTGTCAAGTCTTTCATCAAAGTCCTGGTTCGTATTGCTTTTAGGTTTGTTGATCCCTCAATAGCCTCAATATACATTTTCATTTCAATTTTAAATTTAGGGAGAAAAAAGGTTTGCACTTACAAAACTTGCTTTTGTGAATATGAAATTTGTAAAAAAAAAAATAGAAATTTTTTTGAAAATTTTTTGGTACAGGCTGTAACATTTCACCCCTACAGATCTTACCAGTAAATTCTACAGTAAAAAAAGTTTTACTGTAGGGCTATTTTATTCATCTTAAAGGAACACTCCACTTTGTTAGAAAATAGACTTTTAAAGTTAAACGGTTAGCAGTTTTATCACCTATGTGTCCATTCAGCCAATCTCCAGGTCTGGTGGAGCACTTTCAGCTTAGCTTAGTATCAGAGTTGGGTGTAACTCGTTCCACAGTAACACGTTACTGTAATCAAAATACATTTTTGAAAAACACAGTAGTGTAACGAATTCCCTTTTATATGTATGTAATTTGATTACAGTTACTAAAGTCAATGTAATTGTGTTACTTACATTACATATATATAATATTTAGAAGAAAAAAGCTTATTTTAAATCATGTTTTCAACTGCAGCATCAGTTAATAAGCATGTGCTTTTGAATTCCTGGAGAACGGCAGCTGAAATAGCTGCTGTCGAGAGCGGCTACTTCAAGTGGAAATACATCACTTTGATATCATTAAGCATAAAAACAAAAATATTGTTGTGAAATTCAGCCTATGTGCAGTTTCTAAAGAACTTTCGACTGCTTTTAACTCGACTAGTAACTTAACAGAAAGCATTCTAAAACAATACTCGTCACCAAGGAGGACACTGGCACCCAGAAACACATCGGCCCAACTCAGCCGAAACAGGCTAAATTGGATATTTGTGCAGGATCGGGAGTGAAGGTATCTTCTCTGTGTGAATAGAAGCGTAGCTGCTTATGGGGCCGTTCACATATCCTGTGTATAATGTGCTGCTTTTATTTCCCAGACACAATCTGACCCATCAGTTTCATACTTTGTAAGGAATACTTTATGGTAGACTAATTACCTTAGACAAACACAGAACACTGCAGTGCTATTTCATACTATGGATGTCAGTGAAAAAAAAGACAAATTGGTTTGGAACAAGTGAATGATGAACCATCTCTTTAGCTATTTTGAATATGTCAAGCTTCTATGATCAACCCATTGTAATATTAAATTACTGAAAGAGCTGCAGTATATTTAGTATTTTTATAGGTATATTTTCTATGTTTTAAAAGTAACTTCAGAGTAAAGTAATTAGTAATCTGATTACTTTTTACATGAAGTAATTAGTAATGTAATCAAATTCCAATTTTCCAGTTGTAATCAGTCATTTGTAATTAAACTTCCCCAACACTGCTTAGCATAGACTATTGAATCGGATTAGACCATTAGCATCTCGCTCAAAAATCAAAACTGTTCTGTGGTTGCATTGTTTTCTAAGACCAAATGGAAATGAAAGGTGCTATTTTCTAGGTTGATATCGGAACAACTATATACTCATTAAATAATCAAGGATCTTTGCTTTTGTACCATGACTGTAGCAGGCACAATTATATTATGCAGTGCCTGAAAATAGTCCCCAGCTGGGTAACTTCCAACGTGACCACCTGCTTGCACAGGGAACGTGTGCCAGTCACACTGCGCAATATCATTGCACCTGCTGCAGCCATGGTGCTATACTATACGGGTGCTAGTATAGTACCTAGCCATAGTGGCCTAGAAAATAGCAAATTTTCATTTTCTGCTGGTCAGTCTTAGTACATGATGTAACTATAGAAGTGTCAAGCTTTAAATGGAAAAAAATAATCAGAACATTTTGGGTATTGGTACTAAATTAGTGGGCAATCACATTATTTTTCAAAGGGGAAGTAAGCTTTTCTGTCAATGTTTTAGAACTTTTGATTAATTTACATATGGCTGAATGATTAGGAATAAATCAGTAAGTCAGTCCTGCAGGATTTTGCAGGGACACTTTTTTAAAAATATATTTGTGGCCTGAATTTTTTTTTTTCAATTTGAGCGAGATGCTAATTTTCTAATTTTTTTTTAATGATCTACGCTAAGCTAAAAGTGCTCCCACCACACCCAGAGATCAGCTGAATGGATTCTGTTAGGATTAAGCATTTTACAACTCTATTTTCAAAAAAAGTGGACTTGTTTTTTAACTCCAACTTAATAAATGTTTTGATTTAACACTGACTCTTCTGTTTGTTAATTGATAGACAAATGTTGTGACCTTGATGCTGCGACTATTAAAAGGAATACATGCATTTTAAGTGTAAATGATGTCATGTTTATAGCTCTAATACAGTCAGGAAAAGCAAATGTTTATTTTAAAATCACATTTGTGTAATCTGTGACAATAGGTTTTTCAGTATTATTAACTATTTCAAATCTCATATAAACGTCTAAAAGAAAAAGGGAAACCTCAAAAGAAAACAATGGTTTGTTGTGAAGCAAAGCTTGGACAAGAACTTCTTAGTAACTTCTAGAGTGAGTTTTGTTTCGGTGCATCAGCTGAAGTTGTATGCACTATTTTTTTTGAAGAGACCAAAAGTTTAGCGAAAATTAATAGCACATTCGTAAAGTCTTGGTGATAAAGAATTATAAAGCTTATAATTATTTGATGTTCACTAGAAATATTTCAATTCCAGTCAATCATCTATTTGTGGAGTATTTTTATAGGTTGCACAAGTAATACTTTAGTCTACTTGTACTATGGATAGTACAATAGAGATGGACTATATATTGTTTCAACATTGTGCGTATGGCAATATTCAGAAATCAGAATTCATTAGCTTTGTGGTCACTGCAGGGTTTAACCATAACAGAATGAAAGTGAATAATTTTGATGTGTAAGGCTTATGACGAGGCCCTTACGGAATCAGCATACACAGAAATTTGTAGATTTCCTCAGATTTTTAGCTCATCTATGAGTCTATTTATTTACGTGTTTAAATGTGTGTAAATTTTAGATTTATACAGTTTTTAAATTAATTTCAGTAATAATACTAACTACAAAAACACTCATATGATTTACCTACAATACAGTTTGTAAAGTCACATTCTCTGTCTTTTAGTATGAGAGACTTGCTTTATCAAATAAGTGGATCTAATTGGATTTGCAATGTAAACAGTAAATAAAAGTTAAAAAGCTTTTTTTTTTTATATTAGGGTTTTAGTTACGATACTCCTAAATTCATTTCACATAAATCCACAGATTTTTTACAAATGTATGTGCAGAAATATCAAAAAATGTATGCAGATTCTGCCAGGCCCAACACATGAATGAACATTTCAAGAGAATTTAAAACATGCAGGCACAATAAATTGTACAATTTTTTACTTTTAATAGCGATTAATTTTATTGAATAATTTATACTATGCAGTGTTGTTTTTCATTTCATCATTCAATTTCTGTAATGTTTGACTTGCAGTAAACAATAAAGCACTGACTATTACACTTTTATCTTTGCTATACTATATACATATGTGCTAATTTGTGTATTACATTTGATCCATGATTCTCACCCCTACAAAATCACCCCAAACCATCTAAATTAATGAAATCCATGCAAACACAGCTTTTTAAACCATCTGGATCAATGATATCGCAATATATATCTGAGAAAAACTGCAATATTGTGCAGCCCTGCCTAGGGTACCGACTGTGGGAACTCAGATTAATCAACAGCCCACAAATAAAACATTTAAGCCACAAAGGTTTTTATTTTTAGATGTATTTTTGTTTATCATATTTATAAAATCATTTATTTTCAAAACGATCATTTGCAGAATCACTGATCAAATGCCACTGTCTCACAGTCAGTCTTCTCCTTTTATCTGTCTAGCTCATTGAGTCTCAGTGGAGATCTGCAGTAGAGGAGTGCTGATCTCGCTGGACTGGTATGTGCTGGTGACTCTGAGCAGGCAGCTGAGCAGCATGTCTTTTGCCCTTGCCGTCTCCATGTTCTGCTCTCGGCTCAGCTGGAGGGTCATCTGGTCCAGGCTGGTCTGCAGAAGCTCAGAGGCCATGACGGGCCTGCTAACAGCCGGTCCCTCAGTCAGGTACTGTCTGTACAGCTCCAGAAGCTTCTGCTCAAGATAGCCGTTAAGTTGAGAGTTGGAGAGCGGCCGGCTGAACTGCAGGAGAGAGGGACGCTCACGCCCGCTTTCTTCCTTCCATCGCCTCGAGCTCCTGTACTCGTGGACCAGAGGAGGTAAGAGGGAGGGTGAGGGAACATCTCCAGACACAAGAAAGGGTCCAGGCTGGGGATCCTGGCTGTGATGGCCCTGTATTTCTCCTGCATGGGGGCTGAGTGGCAACACCTGACCGCCTGCTATGTGTAAATCGCTGTAATGCTGGCAAATGCTGTGGCAGCTCGAAGGCACCAAAAATGCTTCTGTTTCTGGGGTGTCCACATGCCTGGGGATATCCACACCATGTCCTGCCATAGAGGAAGGGTGAGGGTAGCTCCGGGTTTTCATCTGGGTTATATTAGCATGGACCTCTGGAGCTGAGTGGACGGGGATTTGAGCTGAGAGGGGATTATTTGGTGAAGTTGAGGAAGGCTCTGTGACTGTGGTGCATGAAGGAGGATTTACACACTCGGCTTCAGCTTCAAAAGCCAGACTCCAGAGCTTTCCTTCACACAGCATCTAGAGTGCACAGACACTGAAGTTATATCAGGTCGCAATAAAATATTGGTTCTCAGTCTTTTTGACTCCACTATATGCACTTACTGACTTAGTGGGCAATCACCTTATTTTTCAAAGGGGAAGTAAGCTTTTCTGTGAATGTTTTAGGACTTCTGATTAATTTGCATACGGCTGAATGATTAGGAATAAATAAATCAGTAAGTAAGTGACTCCTGGATTTGCCAGGGACACTTTTTAAATTATATTTGTGGCCTGAAGGGCTCTTTTTATGATGGCTTTTCTTAAAATGGCATTTTATGGGATTATTTTCTTCAATTCTTTTGTTTTTCTTTAAAAATACACAAAAATAATCATTGGATTTACAAAATCCTGAAGGGATTTGTAAATTAAACCACTTCTACAAACCAGTGTGTATAACAATGCATTTTAAAATAAAAATAATATATTAAGAAACTAGCAGTGTGCAATGAGCTGTTTTTACAGCTAAAAGGAAGCGATTGAGAAAAGAAATCTCAACACAATTAGGTTACAATGACCGTGCCAGTTCTTGTCAGGAAAAAATGTCAATAGTGGAGGAGAATAAGTCAAAAAGCACTTTTAGTGGATAAAGTGGAGTCAGAATGGTCAAGAACAAGATTTTTTTGTCTTGTTTCTAGTCCAAACATCTAAAAATTCCTAAATTAAGGAGAATTTTCTAGACAAGAAAAACATATTGTCTTGTTTTCAGAAATAATATGCCAATATTAAGTGAGTTTTTCCTTAAAACAATCTAAAACATCTGCCAATGGGGTAAGCAAAATAATCTTACGTCAAAAGAAAAAACAAGATTAATTTGCTTACCCCATTGGCAGATTATTTTGCTTGTTTTAAGGAAAAACTCATTTAATATTGGCATATAATTTCTCAAAGCAAGATAATATGTTTTGCTTGTCTAGAAAATGTTTCTTAATATAAGAAATCTTAGATATTTAGACTAGAAACAAGACAAAAAATCTAAGCAAGAAAAGCATTTTTTGCAGTGTAGTTCTCCAGGACCGAGTTTCTGCACACCTGATTTAGAACCACTATTTTGATGGACATAGTGGAGCCAAACAGATCAAGAACCCTGAATTAATTGACACTGGGGTCAGAAAAGGCAAGAGCCACTGTTTTGAAGCACACAGTCTCTGCATGTCAGCTAAATCGGTGGTTCTGGATTTATTTGACTCCACTATGTACACTAAAACAGTGGTTCTCAACATGATTGATTCTAACCTATTCACTAAAGTAGTAGTTTAACTTAATCAAGTTCGAAAGTTTTCATTGATATAGCATTTATTAACATTCACAGAAATAAGTTGTAGTTAATTAAATATTTTAAACCTTTAATTAAATTTAAATAATTATTTAATTACCACAATTCAAGTTTGTGATTGTAATTATTGCTATATATTCACTAAGTATTTAAAGCAGTCCCACTTAGTGAGCCTGACCCCGCTGGTTGAGATGCAACAGTGTTTAGTTTCAAAATGTAGATTAAATAGAAAAGTAATTATAAATTGAGGCACTATTTCATAACATTTCTGTGAGAGTACATTTATTAACCATTTGTTTTACTTAGTTCACCTGGCAAACCCATGGTTTTTTGCTCAAAGGTTAAGACCCTATTCAATGTTTAAACTACTTAATTCCTCTCACAGTAAAACATTTTACTGGACTGTCCTGCTTTTATTGATTCCAGAAGACTTTTTTATGAAATTAGTTGTCTTAAGAACGATTATTGCAAAGTGGCACAAGGAAAATTTGTAGAATCATGTATTAGCACTAAAAATCATTCATTTGTTTTCTTGCCATGAAAATAGCCTTGGTTGCTGACATGGCATTAAATAAAAAATACATTGCATTGCATTACATTACATTACTGTCCACCTGGCACAAAATAAAGTGAGTATATGAGACTTTTGCATCATCATCATTTTCCACAGTTTACTATGAAACAAACAAATAAGATTTTCAGATATTCCAGGTCTGCCACATTAACTATAACCCCCTAGATTACGCTTGACTGACAGAGAGACATATAAAGTACCCTGAAATTTACCGTTTTCCTACAGAAGAGTCTCTGGATGTTGATCAGAGGTGGTTCGGGGTCTGGTTTTCTCTCTCTCAGTGCTTGCAGTGAAACTTGTGCTATCGATCCTCACTTTTATGCTTTACTGAAGGAGGAAGTGAAACCGAGTTAGATTCTGTCTTCCATGTAAATTTAGAAACACAATTATATTCAGCTGCATTAATTTGTCCCCCATATTTATTACAATAGGCATAAATGAGTCATTGAGTTCACCTTAAATTTTAGTTTGCTATTATAGTCATAGTTTTCTATTGGTACTGTATTCCTAAACACAAGCATATGACACTAATTATGGTGATTTCCCCCTGGGTTTCCTCTTTCTGTAATGTCACTGATGGAGAGAATATTCACTTGAAATCAAGAGTCTGAAACAGATATACTATATTGTAAAGCAGTGGTTCCTAAAGTGGGGGTCAGGGGACAATGATTTCCAAAAATCTAAACTATTCAAATTACCATGTTTTATCCACAACCTACAGGAAAATTTGTAGATAATAGTAACATTGTTAACAATAAACATAAAAAAATAACATGCAAATAAAAAGCCATGCGACTGCTTGGGTGTTTCAGTTATATTAAAGACAGAAATAGCATCAGATGCAGCACATTGATTTGATGGCACCAGGTTAAACTTTCTGACACCTTTACGACACTCACATAGATTAAAAATAAATACAGGCCACAACTGAACATGAAGGATGGTCTCCAAATGGCGTTCTCCAAAATTAAATAATGAATAGACTTGGGCTTATGGTATATGTGTGCCGTTGTGTGCAAGAATTATATATCAATAACCACCTCAGAGGATATTGGCAGTCACAAGTCACAGGCATTGTTGTTTTGGGGGTTGTGGGCTAAAAAGTTTGGGAACCCCTGTTCTAGAGTACTAATGCTATGCTAAAAGGACTGTATTTATTATTATTGTTATTATTATCTTTTTTCTTGAGCTCTCTCATGCTACATTGTGCAGCTGTTATATTTTGCAGTTTCATTAAACTGAAAAAGGTAGCATGTTTCCTCAAACGTCGACATTTGCAGCTGCAGCTGTTCAAATCATTACGTAACAGTGAGTCTTCATTTCCCCTTTGAAACTAAAACATCAAATTCGAATGTAATTGAATCCACTGGTAGACATGTAGATTGAACACACTTCATAGGTGTTAGTGCTGGTTAATCGCTAGTAGGTCGGTGACTAAATGCTGAATCACCTACGTGCATTATTAATGTGATGATCTGACTTACGAGTAAAATTATTATTTGTTGAACTACTAAACAAGCAGAAAAAAGGAATAACTAAACACATTTTCTAGTTTTGTTTAGCTTTGTATGCATCAAACATTTCACTGTATGCATTTATCTAGATATGCAGATGAAAAACGATATATTGTATTTATTTATAGATTAATTTCTGTATATTTTTATTATGAATAGAACAGTCCTTTTTTTGGTTGTATTAAAAAACTGGTTTTATTTGTGGTTCTTTTATGATGCAATCTAAGGGTTTTTGAGTCTTTTATTTATTTATTTTTTGTTTGTTTATAGTAGCAATATATACAGATTTCACTTAAGATGTTGTACATATCCCATTACTAAACTTTTTTTTTTTTTTTTTACAAACAAGACAATAAAAAAATAATAATAATAAATATGAAAACAGTAACTACAATATGATAACATAAATAATATCAATGACTAAATATACATGGGTCAGAGAGGGTCAAATCTTTATTTATTTCCTCAACTTTAGTTATTATAAAATGTTAATTCCTAATTTAAAGAGAGAGTTAAGAGAGGGAGTGGAATTGAGAAAAATTTGTTCTGTGGATGGGAATTAGATAGTAATATTTTACTGTATAATAATTTTTTATAGTAATGTTTTGTAATATTTCTACAAAGATTGAATGGAGCAATGTAATGTATTCAGTCAACTTAGACCAGATATTTCTAAATGCATTAATTTGAAGTCAAAGGGTGAATGTAATTTTTCATCACATAAATATCATACACTATGTCTGGCCTGTCTTGGATTTTTGGTGATTCAGTGTCTTGTAATTGCTTTTTTGGCTGCAATTATTAAAATATTAAAAATTTTACTTACTTATTTTATTTACTTATTTGGATATCAGAGCTTCCAAAATAAATAACCATGAATGAAAGGGTAGTGTAATATTAAGTATGATTTCTATTACTCCATGTACTTCTACTTCCTAAAATTGTTTTATTACTGAACATTCCCAAAAAAAAAAAAAAAAAAAAAAATGTGCCAGTGATTAGGTTCCTGAGACCCACATTGTCTCCAGCACTTAGTGTCCTTTCCTGTGACTTATGCTTTGATTTTGTGTGGTGAAAAATCTTATTAGACATTTCCATCCAAGTTCTCTCCACATATGTGAGATGGTACATTTTGATGTAAATCTACATATGTCCAACCATTCTTCCTTCAAAATAATAAAATTACTTTTCCCATTTTTCTTTAACATAAATGTTTTAAGTCTTTTAACATCAAATACTGTAAGAACATTACAAATATTGAATATTATAATTAGGTGTAAAATAATGTTTGAAAACAATTTGTGGGTTGCTTTATATTAAAAAGAAATGTTCTCCTAATATTGTTAATTTGCTAAATTTTACCTACTTAAAACTTTAGTTTGTAAGCTTTATGTCAAGTTTTATGTTCTTCTGTTTATTCTGCACAAATACAGGATATTTAGTTAGAAAAATAGTTTTTTATTTAGACATACTTTTATAGGTTGCTTTCCGCAAAACCCTCTGTGCTCTGTTATATGGCCACTTATTTTATTTCAAGTAGCTTACTCAAGTTTAACATTTTATTTTTTATTAATTTATCATTTTCTAATACATGCTGCTCAGCTGCCTGCTCAGAGTCACCAGCACATACCAGTCCAGCGAGATCAGCACTCCTCTACTGCAGATCTCCACTGAGACTCAATGAGCTAGACAGATAAAAGGAGAAGACTGACTGTGAGACAGTGGCATTTGATCAGTGATTCTGCAAATGATCGTTTTGAAAATAAATGATATTATAAATATGATATACAAAAATAAATCTAAAAATAAAAACCTTTGTGGCTCAAAAGTTTTATTTATGGGCTGTTGATTAATAAAAAAGACACTAACACGTAGCCTATAGACCATATCACTGCTGTCATGTCATTGGCCCATGAACATCTCCTGAATCAGGCAATTCAATGTTAAAACAGCTATCATAATTTTATTTATCAATATGTGTCTCTTTTTTGATTGTGGGAAGCTATAGAGATTTTAAATGTAAAACAGGAAATACGTTGGGACCATTGTTTTTGTTTGGGTCCCTCAAAATGGTGTAGGTTTTAAAAACCGTGAGTTTATTGTAAAGGATAAAACTTGAATCCTTTTTATGTTCTATAGCTCAATAACCCAAGTCTTTCTGTTGTGCTGAAAAAGAAAACAAGTTGGCTACTTTTAGATATAGGCTACCGTAAATTTAACCATAATCCACATATAGCGTCCAGAAATTATGCGTATACATAAACATTCTAAGAAAACCATCTTCGTGCATGCAACCCTAATGTTATGCAACAGCGATGACCAGCACATGTGTGTAGTCTAATATGTCTAAGTTTGGTCAATAATTAATTTGTTAGTGTAGAGTTGCAAGCGCACAGTTGCCATGGCCGCGTTTCAAACCTACAATGACTGCTTCCATACGGATAAGAAACAGGCATCCGACTGTCTGTGAAATGTAAAATAACGAGTTTGAGTTCAGCACCATGGACAAGAATTCTGTTTCCTAAAGAAGATATGAAGTAAGTTTTTCACGGGGAGGAGAGTGAAGAGGGACATGGAAAAAAGAAAACAATCTGATCGTCTTATAGGAACAAGGTATTTATATAGGCTAGATTTATTATAAAACAAGCTGGCAAGTCACAATTTGATGAGCACGATGCTAGCACCCTCTTGGGCTTTGAACCAACATCCCTTCGGTTTTCATCCCAGCTATTTAACAACTAAATTGCGCCAACCAGGCACCCAGCGTGATGTTTAAGAAAATCAACGCCGTTTTTCGGCCGAACCATCCTGCGCCTCGCTCTCGGGACAGGTTCAGGTCCACTGAGGACTATCACAGCGCGTGCACTGTGAAGTTGGTCCGGAGCACGTCGATGCTCGTGGTCGGGGAGAGCAGTCGCGCGCTGCGGGACTCGACGCTGAAGCGGAGCGTGAGCGCCGTGAGTGTGGAGTCCAGCACCGCCCTCTACTATTACCAGAGCCGAGAGGACCGAGTGTGGCTCTACTCCCAGAACCAGGACTGTCTAGAATACTTACAGGAGCTGGTGGCGCTCAGGCGTCAGTACACCAAGAGCATTAATGACCTCAAGGACGGGGAGCGTAAAGAAACCGCGTCCCGCAAGAAGAATGCAGCGCCGCGGCCACCGCAGAGCAGCGCACCACAGGTGAGACTACTGCTGTGGGTAACAAGCATTTTTGTCTTCATCAAATTAGACTTTTAAAATTTCTATCGTATTTGTTTAGTTGTTTTATCTTACACACATGGAAAATATTTTAGATACAGGAGTCTGTTTTAAATAACCTTTGTGGGAAAAGTCAAAATACAGGTAAAATTTGTGGTCATTCAGCGTCGTTTTGAGACAGATAGCCTATTTACTGATTATTATTTGAAGCCTAAAAAATAATTAAGGACTTATGTCTAAAATGAAAAATGAAAGCATCTTGTTGATAGTGGACAATATGATTGTGGTTTGTCTTTTTGGCTCTGTCTAAAATTATAAATGAAAGCTGATAATTGGTAATATCACCGTGCTTTAAAGAATATGAAATTTAGTTTAGTATTTTAAAGCTACATTGGGATGCAAAAAAAATTAGTTTTTTAATATGCCAGACAATATTTGTTTTTTATATATAAACTTGTTACACTCAATTTCACTTGCTATAAGGTACATTAATGTATGTATAGATGCATTGTAACAGGCACATTATAATATAATGTATATGTTATTGAATTATTGTAATGTGTCTATTTATTTGGTTGCATATATTCACAATCCTGTAAAAAAAAGTTCTTTTGAGGAAATTTATTTTTTATTTTTTTTAGAGAAAAAAATTCTGTACAGAAGGACTGAAAAAAATATTAGCTTTTAAATTACCTAAACTTTGTGGCTGCTTTCTTCTAAAACTGGATTGTGTGGAGAAACTATTAATTTTAAGGATTTACAATAGTTTTTGGAGCTTCATTAGTTCTAGAAATAACAAAAATCTTGACAGAACCAAGTAAACTAGCAATAAATATAATGAACTGTACAGTGGTGGTAAGAGTACAAAAAAATTGTACTCAATTACAAGTACTGTTACATTGCTGAAATTGTACTCAATTACAAGTAAAAGTACTGGTGTTAAAAAGTACTCAAGTAAAAGTACAAATTACTCTTCGTAAAAACTACTCAAATTACAAAATTACAAATTACTTTTTTAGCTTGGCGGTATTGGTGGAATTATCCATAAATGCGGAGTCAGACAAGATCCAGGCAGTAACACATTTTACATAACACATTTAAAGATACTATAAACACTTTTAAAACTGTGTAAACAGCATTAATTATAGATAATAATTATAGAGCACCTATAGAGGAAACCCACGCCAACATGGGGAAAACATGCAAACTCCACACAGAAACACCAACTGACTCAGCCAGGGCTTGAACCAACAAACTTTTTACTTTTACTTTTTTCTTTTTACTATAACAGAAATATGCACAAATGCACGACTTTTTATCATTTCAACTGATGCCTCTTTTATCTGTACGATCAATAGATGATGTAATAAATAAAAAAAAACACTTGCAAATTATGGAGAAACTTTGTTAACTACCTAATTCGCGAACTGAACCGTCAGAAACCACAGAACAACACTGCCTAGTGCCTAAACATATTATTAATAAATATAATATCACACAAATTAAGTTATGTCTTCTTACCATAATGTTTTTTTTTTAGATTATAGATTGAAGTCTTAAAAAAAAGGGTTTCTGCAGATATCATAATGTCAAATTTAAGACTTTTTAAGACCTCTTTAAGACCATAAAGTATTAAATTTAAGACCTATATCACAATATCAAAAGCATGCAAGAGAAAATGCAAAAACACAAAATTTGTGGTAAAATAAAATTATTTAAATAGAACAGTACTGAAGACAGGTTAGATGCACCATTGAAGTGCAGGAACAAAAAAACAAAGAAACAAACATTTTGAGGCTGATTAATACTTTCGCCTGGCTCCGCATTGCACACCTCCGCTGACTGTGCGCACTTCACGAAATGGATGAGGCTTTAATACTAGACGTGTTCGTCATTGTGATATTCTTTAAAACATCAGGGGCCAGTCAAAAGAAACCTCACTGTAAAGTCAGACGGATAAACAGAGAAGTAAAACGTTTTCAGAACTACGTCATATCTTTATTATTGTTCAAGATTTTAAAAATAATTATTTTTCATTATTTTTATAATTTATTATGATTACAAAGTTGGGTGACGGGGTGGGGCAGTGGGTAGCGCTCTCGACTCAAGGCAAAAAGGTCGCTGGTTCAAGCCTTGGCTGGGTCAGTTGGCATTTCTGTGTGAAGTTTGCATGTTCTCCGATTGTTTGCGTGGGTTTGCTCAAGATGCTCCGGTTTTCCCCACAGTCCAAAGACATGCATTTTAGGTGAATTAGGTAAGCTAAATTGTCTGTTGTTGTAAATGAGAACGGGTTGCAGCTGGAAGGGCATCCGCTGTGTAAAACATATGCTAATAAATCATTCGGTTCATTCCGCTGTGGCGACCCCAGATTAATAAAGGAACTAAGCCAAAAAGAAAATTAATGAATGATTATAAAGTTTTATAACTATTCAAGATTTTTTTAATTAGAGTTTGATGCATCACTCACTTGTGTTTATATCTCAGACAGTTCTACCTATTAAAGTTAAATATCAATGACAACAGAACATGGGTTACTCTACAATTATTTTTTTTTATTCTGGCAAGAATAATAGCAAAAAAATATATATATTATTTTTTGCCCACTCAACAATTGACACATTATTGTCTGGCTAGTTTCTGTCCTCTACTAATGAGCTGAAAAGGCAATAATGGTCCAACAATCCTGTCTATTATCACCAATAAAGCCTATAAATTAAGCTTGAGTACACTGTAAGCCGATGGGCTCATATATTCTTTTCCAGTTATCAAATACTTAATTTGTTACTTAATTTTTTTTACATTGCTTTAACTTCAAAATGATACATCAGTTTAAAACCAATAAATGGTGAAAAAACATATTCTGTAATCTTAAAACCACCTGGGTCTACACTTTTGCCATGGCCTCTTTTTTGTTGTAACAAACTTATCCCCTAGGTTTTTCCCAACTTTAACAAAACACTTCCTTTCCATGGCTGTTGCAATTTCTAGCCAAGAATTATTGGTCATCTGGTCATCTCTATGCTGATCACGCATGGTTGGATAGTTAAGATGTCTGTACATTCGTACTGTTACAGTCAAAATCTCTTCAAAGTGATTCAAATTCAACTCAAATCAAGCGCGGCGCCGCGCGAAACTGTTCACCCGAAATCATGTCGCGCGCGTCCAAAGTGAACCTCCGCAAACACGGCGATGACGTCACATTCGCCGCGCGCACTGAGCTATTGCATGCTGGTCTTTTCTTATTTGTAGTTTTAATACTGCAAATTAAAATAGGAATAGTGAAATAAAGAACTACACCACCACGAAACCAAGCAACAACAAAAAAATTAAATGAGCATTAGGAGTAGCGTTACATGTACATCGGAAAAATAAGACCTGTGCAAACATATTTCAGACCTGGAACAGCGAATTTGAGACTTTTTAAGGCCTAAAATTTAGATGTTTATATTTTAGACATTTTAAGACCCCACGGAAACCCTGTGTAAGCCGGATGGTACAGCAGAGGGCAGGTTTCATCCACCTTTTTTTGCGCTTTTTGGATATGCACATAAAAACGGTTGATCGAAACGCTATAATGCGCATATATTTTGAAAATGTGTGTGAATGGACAAACCAGCAGGCTAAGCACATTGTAAAACATCTAAAGTGTTGTTTTGGTCATTTTAAACCGCCTCAACCATTTCAGTATTATATTATATTAATAATGACCTCCAGAACTGTCAAGAGTGCCTGCACTCCGTGTCTCGCGCCTTCCAGCGCGCGTTCACTGCGTGCAGGATTGCCTTCTGATGCGCAAGTCACTTATTAAATGAAGATAATTTATTCATGCAGCTGCTCCTACTGATGCTAATTCTGTTTTTACTTTTGATATTTGTCGCCAGTTAATCAGGTGGCAATTTTGTTTGACTTGTTGGACAGAAACGCTGCTTTATTTGCAGTCTTTTATGCGATATTCCAGTTTTGGGCATACATTTAATTAGCATTTTAGATGATACCATAGCTAATCACATCAGCACAGCTGTCCCCTTTTTTCCCTATGTACCTGTAGGTGAACAGCTCCTCCAGGTGTGGCAATGGGCATTCATCCTCTGCTATTTCTTCCTCATTTCTTCTGTCTTAAATCTCCATATGTAATTGATAACTTTGTGACTGTATGATGACGGTCACGTAAATCTGCAGTAGCCTGAACTTGTTTTTCGGTTCAAATAATGTACCAGGCTTTTCATTGGTCCGTTAAGATCAGCTTTTTTTATTGGCTACCGAAATGCTGGTCAGTGCGTGGCTGAAATATTAATTTATTTACAGTACTCTGTAACGAATTGTGATTTTAAAAGTAACGAAGTAGATTACTCAGCTTAATTTTTACTCAAGTACAAGTAAAATTACAGGCTTAAAATTCTACTCATGAAAGTACAATTACCCCAAAAATGTACTTAATTACAGTAACGTGAGTAGTTGTAATTCGTTACTCCCACCACTGGAACTGTATTTCAGACTTCACGGCCTGTACCTTCTGCTCCACCAATGCCAAATGAAGAAGACACGCTCCAGTTCTTTGATGAAGTGATCGCAAGCTGTGACCCGGAGCCCAGCAGAAAACCACATGTGGACAACGGCCATGCAGACGTCGACTTTATAGGTGATAGTAGAGCTTATTACATTCTCACTATGATTGCATTCAAATCCTATACTCGTGAATACTCGTGAGAGTGTTTCCCCTTACCGGAAACATGTTGGTCAACTAGAAATGTCAACTTTTGTTTGTTCCATTCATTGTTCATCCATCAGTCTAATCCTACATCTACATTTGAACATTTCTTTAGTGGCAACCAGTACCAGTGAGCATGATCTTCACTCCAACTGGGTGCTTCGGGACCCTCGTCGAATCTCCATGTTGGAGTCGCAGCCCAAGAAAATAAATATCAGTCACGGGAAGGCAGCCCAGCGGAAAGGGGACATGGGAAGCACAGGCAGCAGGAGATGCCTGCAACGAAACCCTATCCACCTGCCCAAAGTAGTGGAAAGTGCCTTTCAGACACTACGCTTTAAACCCAAGCTCAAGAAGAAAGACTAGCTGCTCAAAGAAACACTGTTTGTGCCTAGAGGACATAAACAATCACAGTGTGATCAAGGAGACGGAGTTGCTAGAAGTATTGAGAAATAGCCTGAATGAATCCCTGGTGGATGTGAGCTCTGTGAATACTGTCAGCGCTTACTCACGTCCTGAGCTTCATAAATTATCCACAGCAGATCACAATCTCTCTTTCAGTAGCTCTTGATAGCAAATGCTTAAAGCCATTACCAGAGCATAACCACTCTGCTGGATGTGGAGCGATCATCCTGCGCACTGATTCCACACAAACGTTTATATTTTTATCTCGTTTGCAGATAGGACAGATATTTGACAGGAAAGCTGGGGTAGAGAGTGGGAAGTAGGATCAGTGTGAGGCAGGTATTGAACTCAGGTCATCATAAACACAGACCTTATAGCCTATTTAAATAATCAGACAGATGAACAGAGTTCCCGCTTTAAGCCAAATATCAAATTCCTGGACTTCACTGACTAAAAAGCTTAATTTACATTACATTCATGAACGTATAAGAGGCTGCTGTTGTGCTTGTATACTAATAATCAGGGCTTGACATTAACACCCGTCAAATGCAGGTAGATTTCAGCTGTGGTGGGTTAGATAGACACCCCCACTAGCCACTTTTACTGGTTGAAAATAATTTTTAAGTTGCCAGAGCTGCCTCCAGATTTTATGTAAGCCGCAGCTGTTGCCGCTTTTGCTTTTACCATTCTTTGAACAGATTATAACTGTGCCTAACGGTAACTGTGTGCACATGATTAGTCATCCTTTCATTATCAAACACAGAATGGTTTTCACCTGCTTTCTTCTGCTTAGTTTTATTTGTATTTATGGTTTGATTATCATCCTTTACAATAACATTGCTTTAATAGGAGATTAACTCTCCGTTTATCTATAGTTACCTGATGATATATGACCTTTAGCCTGGACAAACTACTGTGTTAGTTTTAGATGAATGACAATCATTTTTTAAATGTCAATTATTGTTTTTTTTTTGTTTTGTTTTTTTAGAAAATTTTTGTTGGATAAAAAGTGTATGCATCTATATTTAGCTTGTTCTGGAACATTATTAAAAATCTGTTGCAAGAAAATAATTGTTTAGAGTCCTAAAAAGTCATGTGAAAAAAAAAGTTAAATTAACGACGAGGCATGTTGACATAACAGGAATTAGTCATTTTTAGCATGCCAAAGTCAAATTGATGCAATAAAATATATTTTACCGACAACAAAATTGTGGCTAGTGTAAAAGGCAAGTGACTAGTAATGTTGGAAAACTACAAGCCACAGTGGCTGGTGATCAGAAAAGTTAATGTCAAGCCCTGCTAATAACATAATTGAGCCAGTAATATGAGAGCAATTCATATTTTATCTTTTTTTTTTTTACCTAAAACTCTTGAAATTTCTATTATTCTGGCATGTTTGCTTCGTTTACAGGTACAGTCCTGGTTTAAAGCAAAAAAACAACAACAACAATGCCTAATACTCAATGATTCCCAAAAAATTCCCTCTTTTTTAATGTCTGTAATTTACCTTTCAAAATTCTATGACTCATGGGAAGTCTGGATGAATGATGCTAAACATAAGGTAAGATGTGTTTTGTTGATTTGTGATAGGTAAGGGAGACAAATTCCTGTTTACACCTGGAGTTTTGATGTTTTTTTTCCACTTCAACAATTTTTTTGTGTATTTTTTTTCTGAACGTTTAGTGTAATATTGCAAAATAAGCTTGCACAGTTTACATTAAAGCATGAAAGGGGACGACACATTTGTTTGTGTCGTTAGCTGCAAAACTACATTAAAAGCTTTGAGTTTGTTGCAGTCAGAATTGTAAGAGAACATCATACTTTATGCTATTTTTTTGCCTTTCAAATAGGCATGCAGCGTTTTTGAAGTTTTCTGCAATTAGGAAAAGTCAAGGTTTTAAAATCGGCAACATTTTCTGTTTTTTTTTTTTTTTTTTAGTTTTAGTTTTTAGGACAACAGTATCTCCAGCAGAAAAAAATATCCAAAAATGGTATTTTAAATTGTAAAGAAATCTGTGAAAATCTTTTAGAAATTTATGAAGACAGCAGAACTCAAAGGTTAATTTGAGTTATTTAGCCTGACATGTTTACTGCTCCAAAATATTTTAAATGTTTTAAGAGCAGTAATCACAATACCATTAAACTGTGATATTTTTATCCAAGGTTATCATACTATCAGAATCTTATACCGACCCATGCCTACTTTCAAGTAAACATATTCAGACTGTTTAAATCCCATTAGGCTAGTGCACTTCAATATTTCCTGTAATATTTAAGGCCCATAAGCAAAGAGGAGTTTATTAGCTGTTTGAACATTCAACCTCATGAGCGTTTTACTTTGAAAGCAATCCATTGAAATGTTCCATTGAAATGTTCAAAATTGTTCAAAAATCCATTGAAAATTTTCAGCTGCCTCTAAAGAGTGGGTAAGCTTAAAATGATACAGACCACTTTGCTACTGGATTGACGAAAATGCCTCTTAAAGGGATAGTTCACCCAAAAATGATGATTACCTTACATTAACAAACTCATGTGACTTTTAAACCTTTATGAGTTTCTTTCTTTTGTTTAACACAAATATATTTGGAAGAATGCTAGTTTCTGAGACCCATCAACTTCAACAGTAGGAAAAAAATTATTATGGAAGTAAATTAGTGTCGACTACCAGCAATTCTTTATTTTATTTTTTTATTTTTTTGCATTCAACAGAAGAAGGAAACTCAAATAGATTTAAAAGTCACATGAAGGAGAGTCAATGTAAGGTGATTTTCATTTTTGGAATTTTTTTTTTTTTTATCCTTTTAACACCAGGTGTAAACAGGGTCTACGAATTTAGCTTAGAATTTAGCTAGTAGTTTTGATTGGTGAGATGATTTAAAATGCAAAACACAACTATTTCTATGATGTACTACAGTAAAACTCTGGGGATGGGGATGAAATAACAGTATTTCTTTCCATGACAACCATCAAACCGATACTAGTGCCTTAATTGGTAGGTTTGTGCAACCATTTTTTATGACCGTTTATGATGATTGTGAAAATTTCTGCAACTTTATCAATAATTGTGTAAACTATTGTTTAAGAGTGATGCATTTGTACTTGTGTTTTTAGCATTAAAATCTATAAAGAGGAACTAGGTGCATGTGTTTCAATGCAGAGCTAAAAAGGGCTGCTCTCTTCTTCTGAAAAAAAGGAAGCAGGAATTGGGTATTCCCCCTATAGAGTATAATTAAAAAGTACAACAACACGAAAACAGGTGCAATGAGCCTTTAAAACAAATAAATAGATAATAACTAAATAATTTACCAACATATAAGAAATTACTTATTAAAAAACATTAATTAAATTATTATAAAAATTTACAGTATACGTTTTTATGTTGTTACAACTAGGCATAGGCTGGTATATGATTCTGATGGTATGATAACCTTGGATAAAAATATCAGTTTCATGGTATTGCGATTACTGAAATAAGTTATCTTTAAATGTCTTAGTAAAAAAATCAACACATTTTTCCCTATTAAACACAATATGCACAGGGTTTCTGCAGGTTTCACCAAGTTAAATTTAAAACTTAAGACATTTAGACCATTATGAATGAAATTTTAGAATCATAAAGGGCTAAAAGCCAAGGAATTTTTTTAAAGGCCCAGATGGAGAAGACTTTTATTTGCCGTATCAAAAAAAAAAATGTAATACATTTCATAATACGATAATAAATGAATAATAATACATTTAAATCTTTTACACATTTCTTAGCAAAATATTTTAAATATTGCGTAAAACAAATGTAGCTCTACTTTTTCCAACATAAACTTTATTTAAAATAACAAAAATAATAAATGTTTTAAAAGCTTTAAAAACTACAATAATATAAATCTATGCACAACAATCTGCCCAGTAAATACATGCAGCACTTTAAAACAAATTGCATAAGTGTATGAAAAATAATTAAACCATTAAGATAGTTAAAAATGACCTTTTTTAATAAAAGGTTCAAAGTTTTATTGAGATGGATTGTTGGTGATTGCATGGGCTGTATGGGCCAGATTGGGTAGCAATACATAAACAAAGGAAAATGAAGACTTGTTTAAAAAACATTTAAGACCTACAACACAATATTTCAGTAAATTTAAGACCCTTTTAAAGGCCTAAAATTTTGAGATTTAAGATGTTTTAAGACCCCACAGAAACCCTGTATACAGTATTTAATTTGACAATTTTTTAATTTACAATTCACATTTATAATGTTTTGGAACAGTAAACATGTCAGGCCAAATAATTCAAATAAATCAATGACTTCTGCTAGGTTCATTAGTTTACAAGACGCAGATTTCTTTACTACACAGAAAAAACATATACATGTAAACATACCTTAGAAACAGTATAACAGAAAATCTTTGTGGTTATAAATCTTAAAACCGGTTATCGTCCCATGCCTAGTTATAACAATTTTTTATTTAAAACAAATGACATTTTAAACTTATAATAGTTTCTAACTTAGCATAGTTGAATTATTTCTTGAAGATCATACGACACTGCAGTCTTTAGTTTTCATAACAGGAATAATGTACATTTGATCTATTTTAGCTTTGAAACAGAAACTAGTTGATTTAAATGACAGATTTTACAATATATAGTTTAATTATTAAGAAACTGCAGCCTTAGACAGACTTCTTTAAAAATATATATTGGACAGAATTGCACAGCACACGATGAACAGCAAAAAAATAGAAAGAAACAGTAGAAAACCTTTCTATTATTTTATTAGCAAAAATGTTTTGACACACACAAACTCACACTCACTCACTCAGTTCTTCTCTTGTTTAACTTTTGGACTGAAGAACGATGCCAAGCTCTTCATGCCAGTTTTGTCTGCTTTAGCAAGACTCTTCTGAGCTGCAGTCATCTTCTTTGGTGGCTGAAATAACACACAAACAGTAGTTTAAATATTGAAATTATTAAAACTCTAGTACGGTAGTTAAAATTTAAGCAAGACATGCATTTACAACAAACAAAATGTGAAGCACAAATGAATGCTGAATGATTTAGGCGCAGATGCAAAGGAAAAGAAACAGTCTAATTTTTTTACCAAGTGTCTTTCTACAGTGACGTTCATTCCATTTGCACTGTGTTTGTGATTGTAACTCACTTTTCGTGCAAAATCGGCACTGTTGAACTTGGTGTAGTCTTCTCCAGCCTCTACTGGTTTATCTGACAGTTTTCGTTTCTAACGAATGCAAGACAACAGTCAGAAAAAACACAAAGTCCACCAAAAAGACTATATATGATGCGGCTTGAAAAAAAGACTAAAACCAAGTTGAGTTTAAGGACAAATAAAAATCGAGCA